CTGGTCTCAGGGTCACTGAGTCTCAAGTTATGGTCTGAACCAGAAATGAGATCCAGATCATTGACTCCATGTTCTGCTGCCAACCCTTTCCAGACATTTTCTAACAGCATTTCAGACTCATAAACAAAAGACTGGGGTGGAGGACAAAAGACGAGAGTTCAGTAACCATGGTTTCCGAAGCATCACAGAGAAACTACCTCTGGGTCTTAGCTGATGGAAATAAGCTATCTTTGCTATTTTTCAGGGTTGGGGGTCATAACAATGAGGCTCTGTGAGGTGCTTTAAGTTCACTCAGCTTTCATCGATTCCTTGATCCTCAGAGCTAACTGCTCACCCCATTTTAGAGGTGAGAAAATGAAGATGCCTAGAGCCTATTTAATATACTTAGATCATGCAGCTAAAATGGGAAACTGATTCAAAATAGTACTGCACATAGGAGTGCCTAGCACATGCCTGTGCCAGGAGCTGTGCTAAACACCTGTCAAGTATGATGGTGTTCTACAGTGGACTCAGGTGGAAGGAAAGGGTGGAGATATCTTTCAGCATCCACAGCAGAGGCTCGGAAAAGTACATCCTTTTCCCACTGGAGCATCTAGATCCCGATTTGTTCAGTTCAACCTTGAAGTATCTACATGCACTCCTGCAGGTGTCATAGAGCTCAACCCCTCCCAATTCAGAAGTTCCTGTGTTCTGTCTTAACTCCAGGGCCCATTCCTCTACCCGCAATCCCAAGGGAGGCTCTGAGGCATCAAAGAGGGTCCAGACTGACTCCCGATGAAGAAGAGAGGAGACTGCATTGCAAAGGCAAGCCTGCTCAGAGCTACCTTTCAAGTGCCTGATGAAAGAGGCAGGAGCCTAAGCGAAGGGTTAAACAGACACAGGAAGACAGAAGGAATGGTCTAGGCATTCACCAGCAGAGCCTTCTAAAATATTTAAAGGACAGAAACATGTAACCAATGAACAACGAGCCAAGAACTGTCCCAAGACTTTAATTACCACCTCCGTGCTGATACTACAAAATCTTCCTTTCCAGCTTCATCTCCCCTGAGCTGCAGATGCACACACCCAACGGCCCCCTGACCTTCCCTCCTGCCTCATGAGTCTCTTTGTTCCCATCTCCTAGTGCCTCCTGCCACCAGTCATACAAATCAAAGCCTTAGTGCCCTCGCTGGGACTTCCTTTCCTTCTCCGTCACCTCAATTAAACACCATGCTCCCTCAACTCTGCCTGCCAACAGCTTGTCACACCAGGCTTTACCAGGTCGTTGTCCTCTTTAGCAGAGAGTACCTCAATAGCTTTGAAAGTGGCCACTTTGCCTCCACCTCTCTGGCTTCAATTCCTTCTCTCAAGACCCACTGTCAGAGCTCTGCAGGACAAATGCAACACACCCTCACCAGCTCCCTCCCTCGTGCTCTTAGGACATCAGACCCCTCAACACGACACACAAGACCCTTTGGGACTGGCCCTTGCTTGCACTTCTGGTCTTGTTTTCTTGTCTCCTGGCCCCTTATTATTAAAACCAGACTAATTTTAAAATTGCCCCCAAATATGGGACTTTCTTATTCTTTAATAAAAGCCCTCATATAATTGATACAAAAGCAGTCACTAAGAAAAATGTACCACAGAATGTACTTTTTCACTTGCTTCCTGGTCTTTGTGAAGTTATTCCTTTTTTCCCCCCCAGCTTACACCATTGGTGATTCTTCCTGCCAAACCCCACTGGGTGGGTCCCCTGCACTATTCTAATACCTTCTACCCATTCCCACTTTACACAATCTGCATGTCTGCATCTCTCCCACTTGGAGTATTTACTACATGCTACACCTGACTTAATTATCTCATTTCATCTTCGCAGTGAGTCTGGTGTAGGTACTGCTGTGACCCCATTCTAAGGAATGTGGGAAAGTGAGCTTCATGTCTTTACAACCAATCTCTGAAAGCAAGTGGCAGAGCAGGGAAGTGAAAGCCACTTTTTCTGGGCTTGGAGACCAAGCTTTTAAGCACTGAAATCCATCAGGCAGGCTCTCCCCTTCCCCCACCCCGATGGAACCAACGGGTGCTTGACTTTCACTACTCCTAAACCCAGGCAATGCTTGAGTACCCTGGGCCAGAGGCAGTGGAAAATTACAGGCACCCCGACTCCCACCAGTGGCTGTAATCCTCCAGAACTATGCAGTGGGTGGAAGGGAGGAAGCATCATCGCCTGAGCCCTTGCTGTCCTTTCTTAGCACACCTGGGAGGAGGAGGCGGACACCTGTAAGGTGGGGATACAGGCACCATTTCTTCTTCTATCCCAGACATTTTCTCCTAGTGCTCTTTTTCAGCATTCTGCCCTGAGCACAAGCCCAGGCAGCACAGCAAAGTAACCATCATGGCAGTGGCAGCAAGTGCGGCCACCATATACTGCCATGTCCTATGCGGTGACGTGCAGAGTTCCCCATAGGCTTTGCTGCATTCCATCCTCCTACACCCTTTCCACAGGTGCCATTTCTCCTTTCTGTGGGCAAGGAATTAAGGGCCAGAGCCCTTGAATGAGCAATCCAAGCATATAGGACTTGTTAAGTGGATAGTGTTGGGATTCTAGCCCAGTTCTGTCTGTCTTTGCTTCTAGGGTATATACAAATCACCCCCAGAGCTTATTAAGATGTACATTACTTGGACTTGGAGGATGCCTCCATCAGTATAGCATTCACCATGCAAGTGTGAGGGCCTATTTGTATGAATCCCCAGCACCTAAGCAAAAAAAGCCAGGTGTGGCAAAGCATGCCTGGAGAAGCAGAGACAATGAGCATCCCTGGAGCTCACTGCCCAGATGACCCAGCTCCCAATTCAGTGAGACGGTCTCAAAAGTACACTGGAGAGTTACTCAATGTCAACCCTTGGCTTCCAGATTCTCACTGGCCCCACACATAAGCACATATATCCCTCATGATTTCAGAGTGAGAGCTCTGTCATTCTGTGCACAGAGCAAGTCTTAGATGGGACCCAAGTCTGTTCTTCAAGTGAGCTTTTAGGTGATTATGATACAAACAAGCCAAAAAAAAAAAAAAAAAAAAAAAAAAAAAAGAAAGAAAGAAATAAAGAAATAAAGAGAGAAAGAAAGAAAAGAAAAAGTACCATGGACTATGGCAATATTTCCCTAAACTGAGCTCTTCTGGAATACCAGAATATCACAAAAAAAGACCAGACATAAGACAAAATGAACAGGGAGGTATGTTCCATGGTTAAGTAATTTTTAAGAAATATTACATATTTTATGACTTTCTGGCAGATTTGGTGAACATTACCAAGCTGTATTTAACATAGTATTTCCCAAACTTGCTTAACCACAGACTCCTCTATTAACAGCCCCCACTAACATCTCACAAAACCCAGCAAGTGGAATGGAGTTTGGGAAACACTGCTGTTATACTTCAATCTCTGCCCACACTAGCCTCTCTACTTAACTTCTGCTAAGCATGCAGTAGACAGAGTTCAAAGTTCTCCTATTTGTCTCACTCTCACCTGCTACGTGTGAACTTTAGGCCGCGCTGGGTTTATTCCTCAGCTATAAGTCAAAACAGTAAGCCCTGTGTGCCTACAGGGTCCTCATATGAGCATAATGGAGGCCCAACTGCTGGGTAGGGGCCAGCAAGATGACTCAGTGGCTAAAGGTGTTTGCTGTCAGATTCAAGGAGTTTGATCCCCAAGACCCATATGATTGGAGAAAAAGCAATTCACATCTAGTCTCTTCTTTCCCTCTCTGTCTCTCATCTAAATGTAACAAAAGGCTGTATTAATTATGCAGGACTGCACATCTTTTGACATGTGACTGTGATCACATTTGATTCTGTTTTCCTTTTTTTTTTTTTTTTTACTCAAAACAGGGCTTCTCTGTATTGCTTTGGAGCCTGTCCTGGAACTCGCTCTGTAGACCAGGCTGGCCTCAAACTCACAGAGATCTGCCTGCCTCTGCCTCCTGAGTGCTAAAGGCATGCGCCACCAATGCCCGGCTTGTTTTCCACTTTTCTTGCATGAGATTAATCTCTCAAATTACTCTGTGATGGGGACAACTTGGGACCCTTCACTGGGATCATTTTGTACAATGTGAAGTAAGGGAGCTGCTTTGAAAAATCCTACAAAGCAATGCTACACTTTCCTGTGTAGCATATGCGCTACAAGAATCGCATCGTTTCTTCCCAGTAACTCTGTGAAGGGTGGGAGTCTACTACTCAACCTATTTTATCAGAGGAAACAGGCTCAGAAAAATGACCTCAAAACTAATGCGGCCAAGACATGATTCTACTTTTGACTCAAAACTGCACTTAACCTCACCACTGTCAGTTAACAAAGAATTTTGGCCACAAAAAGCACGCTGCCATCTTCCTAGCCGGCTCGAGGCAGGCTAGCAAGGGAGGAAGACGCATCTGCAGACCAATCCAGGTTCTGACCTGGACCCTGTCACCGAACTACCTGGTTACCAGATAAACTCCGTGCTTTCTCTGGGTTTCACTTTTCCTGCGTATGAAATGACGCTGAACTACCGTGAGTGGTGTAAGCATCTCACTTCTGGCACCGCCTACCACCGGTTGTCTAGATTATTCTGTCGCAGTACGTGCTGGGTGAGTCGGTAAACCTGTTTTTACCCCACGCCCTGAATGAAGCGAAGGGAACCACAGTTCTAAACGCCTTGTCAGCCGAGCACCCCGCCCAGCAGGAGACCTGATGTGTGTGCCCTGGTCTGGGCCAGCCCGGATCTATCCAGTCCAAAGCCCCCGAAACCTGGCGTGCGCGACGTCAGAGGGGACGCGACACAAGCAACTTCTCAAGTAGTCCTAGGTGACGTAAGACGATCGCGACAGGCTGGCTCTCTTTGTTTCTCGCTCACGCAGGACCTTGCTAAGGTGAACTTCTGCGTGGAAAGGGCGCGAATAAAGTGGGGAGAAAGAGCCGAGGATGAAGAGCGGCTCCGGGCCTCTAGACAGAGCCCAGACATTGAAGCAGGGGCGGCTGCAACTCACCTGCCCGTACGGATAGCTGGCCATGGCGACTATGACGTCATACACTTGTGTAAGGCGGGGCTTCCTCACCAAAGCCTCTCCTCGTTCAGCCTGGGGGCAAGTCCACTTCTGTTTGGACGATCAGGCTGTCAATCTTACGGCCGACAAACGGAAGTGACCTTGGGGCAGTGGGCGGGTACCTAACAGACCCACTACGAGAGCGAAGGACCCGGTAGAAATGTCCGGAAGTGGTGGTGATAGTGGCAAGTTTGTTTTTGTTTTTTTTTGTGACTTGGAGCAGCCTTAGGGGTTGGTTAGACTAGGTTTTCTAACGGGGTTGCTTCTGCGGTGGCCATATTATAACCTGGCAAATCGGCCACATGTTAATTACGTCACTTTCTGTGATCACTTTAATTTTTTACGCCCAAGCGGTTGCCATGGCTACTGGGCACTAACCTCCTCCTGGAATGGAGGTATTATTTAGTACTTGGATGCTAAACAAGTCTTAGGACCGTGGAGAAAGGTCAAGCTGCCAGAGTAGAAGAAAAATTAGGATGATATGGCTCTTCATAAATGGGGGAACTGAGGACCAGAAAGGCAGTGACTTATATGTCTAAATTCATAGTGAGTTCACAACAAAATATGACCTAGGATTAGTGTCAGTGGATAGCTAGTCTCAGAAAGGGAGTCTTATCCCCTTTGTAGATCCCAGCTACTGAGTGACCAACATCATCTACTTACTTCTCTCTCAGGTTTAGGTTCTACACTTGTTTAGTTAAATCCCCATGTGGCTGGACATGATGGCACATGCCTTTAGTCTCAGCACTCAGCAGGCAGAAGCAAGTGTATCTACTAAAGTTCCAGGACAACCAAGGCTACATAGTGAGGCCCTGTTTCAAAAAACAAAAACCAAAGGAAAAACCCTCTCACATGGACAAGAATTGTGTCTGGTTTGCTTGTAATCTATAGTGCGAACACTATACTTTTAAATAAACAAATGAAATGAGCAGTTATCTGCCTAGGCCATCTCACCATCTAGCCAGACACTTTCCAAACTCCCAGTGCTGATCGTGTTACTGAGCACAGGACAGCATGCAATTCACATTCCTCATCCAACTGCAAAAGAAGATAAACCCTTTCATTCCCGTTCTCTGGGCCCTTAATGATCTGGCCCAGCTGTACCCAGGCTGGGTCCCACTCTCAATGGTCAGTTCCCCCCTCCAACACACTTTAGTGGGCAGATCTTGTTTTCTTTTTAAAAAATTAGTTTCTTTTACTTCTCAGTCTCGGTTTTCTCAAATGTCGGTTAAAATCAACTTGAAAGTGCATTTATTACGGCCTCTTATGCTCAGGCTTAGTGACACACCATTCATAAGACCGATGGCCCTTTCACATCTAGTCTGCCAGTCCCACCCTCCATTTAACCTCTCTCGTGGCCCCCATCTCATTAGCCACTCTTCTCTGTATGCACCTAGTATGGCCGCTGTGTTACAGTCTAACCCTGAATAAGAATTCTCTGATGATTTCCACAAAACGCATCTGTTCTATCACAAAATCTGCACAGTCACTCAGGCCAAGGACCCAGGATCACTTTTTTTTTTCTTCATGTTCCAACTATCACTGATCCAAGACCCCTCTGTAGTCTGGCCTACCCACCAATGTCTTTTTATTTGGCTCCAACACGTCCTTCTCCACTGAGAAGCCAGAGAAGGCACCTTAAAATGTAAATTAGGGTAGGTGTTGGTGATGCATGCTTTTAGTCTCAGTACTCAGGAAGTAGAGGATCTCTGAGGTTAAGGCCTAATATACAGAGTGAGTTCCAGGACAGCCAGGGCTACATAGAAAAACCCTGTCTCGAAGAACAGAACAAGTGAATTCATTATTGTCATTCTCTAACCTCCTCCAAGGGTTTCCTGTCACTCTTGTAATAAAATCTAAAGTCGTCCTTATGACTTTATGGTCCTGTAGGACCCAGACTCAGCCTGTGACACTAGCCTCACTGATGCCATTGCCGTCCTCAGCCTTGCTGAGGCTTGCCTCCAGCCTTGCTGGCCTGGTTACCACCCCAAAACAGACGCAGCTCATTCCATCTCCACATTTTTGGATTTGCTCCTCTCTTTTATAGGGCGATCTCCCCTTAACTTTCCACGTTTTCTTATTTGTCATTCTCATCCAGGTCCCGGTTGAAATACTACATTGGGTGGGTGGGATCCTTGATATCACATCTACGACACCTTGTCTCCCAAGCACATCCCAGTCATCAGACATACCGTGGTATCTCATTTTGTCATAAAATGTGCTGTACTGAATTACCCCCTTTTAGGATTTCCTTGCACATTATAAGGTGCAGGATTGTCCTGTTCTTTAGTAAAGATTTATTTAAGTTATGTGTATTTTTGTGTATCTGTTTGTGGGTATGTGCATGTGACTGCAGGTGCCTGTGGAGGCCAAAGAGGGTGTCAGATCCCCTGGAGATGTAGTTCCTGACAGTTGTGAGCCAACTGACCTGGGTGCTGGGAACTGAACTTGGGTCCTCTGGAAATGGAGCTGGCTCTCTTAACTGCTGAGCATCTAGCCCTTCTGTTTGTACTCATTGCACAGAATGGAGCCTGGCGTGAATCTAGTAGATATTAACGGTTGTTATCATCATCAATAAACATTGAATGCTTACTAACTATAGACAAGTCCTACAGTGTTGTTCAATTACCAGCACAGCCTTTGGAGATAATTGTCATTAACTATTTGTAAAGGAGGACAAGAGACACTAAATGACTTCCCTAATATAAAAAAGATAAATGGTGAACTGGGACATGGTTGTGCATGCCTGTAATCTCAGTATGTGGGAGGCTGAGGCTGGAGGATCACTAGTCCAAAGTGACCCTGGGCTACACAGCAAGATCTTGTCTCAAAAACAGTTGGAGTATCTTGGAGAGATGGCTCAATAGTTAAGAGTACTTGCTCTTTGTGGAAGACCCTGGTTTGAGACAGGCAGTGGTGGTTCACGCTTTTAATCCCAGCACTCAGGAGGCAGAGGCAGGCAGATCTGTGTGAATTCGAGGCCAGCCTGGTCTACAAAGTGAGTTCTGGAACATCCAAGATTGTTACACAGAGAAAACTTGTCTCAAAAAGAGAAGAGAAAGGAGGAGGAGGAAAAGAAGAAGACAATCCTGGTTTTGTTGCCAACACCCCACTTGGTGGCTTTCAACCATCCTTAACTTGAGTTCCTGGGGGATGAGTTGCCCTCTTCCGACCTCCAAGGGCACAATTCTTACATATGGTACACATTCATTTTATGCAAGCAAAACAGTCATATGTATAAATAAATCTTTTTTAAAAAAAATCAATGGAGAAGCCAGGATTTCAGGCCAAGTTAGGAATATTTTAACAACTCAGTGCTATTATTAATCTCTCATGTTGAGTTCTAGGCCAGGAGTATAGATTGGGTGTGGTGGAGTCAATAAATCATGCCTGGCCACTTATTCCAAAAGACAAAACAGAAAAAAAGTGGTAAACCCAGGAAAGAAGTTGGCTCCATACAGCCATCATGGTGAGGAACAGGAACCAGCATCCTCTATCCTGTCTTTGAGGCACTAACAAGAGCTGTGAGTTTATGTAAGCAACAGACAAAAGCTGGTGGCAAGAAACACATGACCAAGCAGTCTTGCTCCAGCTGTGGTCTGGATAATCATTACCTCAGGGTGGGTTACACAGACCCTTCGGGGTAGCATCAAAGTTGCTGCTGCTCAGGACACAGTGTTTGTCAGTCAGACCTATAATTTCTGGAATCCAGGGCAAATGCAAGAGTATGACTCAGACAAGTCAGGAAAAGAGATGGAGTCACGTCAGTAGTTGGTCCCTTCCAGCTTAATGATTAGAGATTTTTAGGGGCTGCTCTTGTGGTTTGGAAAAGGACATGGTAAGGGCCAGATGCCAGCCAGGTGGTGGTGGCACACATTCAGGAGGCAAAGGCAGGTGGGTCGCTGTGAGTTGAAGGCCAGCCTGGTCAAAGAGCTATTTCCAGGACAGCCAGGGCTACACAAAGAAACCCTGTCTCAAAAACAAACAAACAAACAAACAAACAAATAGCTTCATCCTCCAGCATTTGAGGAAATGAGGTACTAGGTTGATTTGGTCTTTATTATTATTGTTGTTATTATTATTTAGGGGCTCCTGTATCCCAAGCTGGCTTACAGCTTGCTATACAGTCAAGACTCCTGCCTCCCACTTTCCAAGTGTGTGCAACACTCTCCTTCAGGAAGAGTTCAACTTTGAGGCCATCCTGAGCTGCATAGTGAGACTGTCTAAAAACAAAACACAAAAGCAGACAGTTGACAGTCTATTGGAGAATTGGAAAACCACCCCAGTCCTTGGATGAGGTAGCCCTGAGTTAGGGACATTCTCCCTAGAGCACCTTCCCAGACAAAGACTCAGAGACTAGAAGGCTAGGGAACTTCTCAAGAAACCAGAACACAAAGGAAGGGCGGCGCTGTGCATGGAGGGAAAGGCATGAGGACTCAGCCTTAAGAGTACTGCACTTGGTGCTCTTCCAGAGGAGCTGGGCTCAGTTCCATCATCCAGGAGTAGCTCATGATTATGACTCCAGTTTGATTGCCCTCTTCTGGCCTCTGCAGGCCATGTGGTGCACAGACATGCTGTCCAAACACCCATTTGAATAAAATAAAAAATAAGCTTGGGAGTGGGGGTGGGACAGAACAGACAACCTGGGGAGTGAACTGGCCAGTCACTTCAAGTCCTTGTCTCAATGTGAGTGACCCAGGATGAGATGAGCTTTAGATGCGACCTGACTCTTCTGGCCAACCGAGGGAGAAGCAGCCACTTTCTATTACAGTTTAACTTTGCAGTCAGTTAAAGCCACTGTTGACAGTCCTATGGGGCCTAAAGCTCAGGACAGGTGTTTGATAGGCAGTAGCTCACTGTCTCTGTGGCTGTGAGTTTACCTCTTACCTTCCATTAGTTCAGGAGAGGAAGTGACAGATGATTGAAATATTTACTATCATTGGTTTACCCTTTAGCCTTGTAGCCAATTTAAAGTTCCAAGGTACTCACTCTTCGGGTTCATTTTAAAGCATTACAAGCAGAAGATTGCT